TTTGGACTGATGTGTTTTCGTTCTCATTGGTTTCCATGAATTGTTTAAGTTCTTTGATTTCCTGGTTGACACAAACAAACATTTTTGAGCAGAGTGGTCTTTAGCTTCCAAGTGTTTGAATTTCTTCCAAATTTTTTCTTGTGATGATGTCCCAGTTTTAAAGCATTATGATCTGAGAATATGCAGGGAATAATCTCAATCTTTTGGTATCAGTTGAAACCTGATTTGTGACCCAGTATGTGGTCTATTCTGGAGAAAGTTCCATGTGTGCTCGAGAAGAATGAGTATTCTGTTGTTTTAGGGTGGAATGTTCTGTATATATCTATGAGGTCCATCTGGTCCAGCATGTCATTCAAAGCTCTTATTTCTTTGTTGATTTTCTGCTTAGATGATCTGTCTATTGCTGAGAATGGAGTATTGAGGTCTCCTACAGTTAACATACTGTTATCAATATGACTCTTTATTTTGGTTAACCGTTGGCTTATGTAGATGGCTGCTCCCATGTTGGGGATGTAGATATTTATGATAGATCTTCTTGCTGGATAGACACTTTAAGAATGATATAGTGTCCTTCTGTGTCTCTAAGTACAGTCTTTAGTTTAAAATCTAATTTGTCTGATATGAGAATTGCTATTCCAGCTTTCTTTTGAGGTCCATTGGCATGGAAGATGGATCTCCATCCTTCACTTTCAGTCTGGATGTATCTTTAGGTTCAAAATGAGTGTCTTGTAGACAGCATATGAATGGGTCCTGTCTTTTTATTCAGTCTGCAGCCTTGTGCCGTTTTTTTGTGAACATTTAGGCCATTCACGTTCAGATTGATTATTGAAAGATATGAATTTATTGTCATCATGTTGCCTATGGAGTCCTTGTTTCTATAGATTGTCTCTTGTAAATTTCTGTTCTATATCACTCTTGGGGTCTTTCTCCTTTTATAGAACCCCCCTTAATATTTCATGCAGGGCCGGCTTAATGGCCACATATTCTTTCAGTTTCTGCCGGTCGTGGAAGCTCTGCATCTCTCCATCCATTTTAAATGACAGCCTTGCTGGATAAAGTATTCTTGGCTGCATGTTCTTCTCGTTTAGTACTCTGAATATGTCTTGCCAGGCCTTTCTGGCTTGCCAGGTCTCTGTGGATAGGTCTGACGTTATTCTGATGTTTCTCCCTCCTTACGTAAGGAATCTCTTCCCCCTAACTGCCCTTAAGATGGTTTCCTTGGTTCTAGGATTTGCGAGTTTTACTATTACATGCCGGGGCATTGGTCTGTTCTCCTTGATCTTGGGAGGGGTCCTTTCTGCCTCTAGGACACGAATGTTTGTTTCATTCCCCAGATTAGCGAAATTCTCCGGTACAGTTTGCTCAAATATATCTTCTAGTCCTCTCTCTCTCTCCTCCTCAGGGATCGCAATAATTCTGATGTTGCAACGTTTCATGGTGTCACTTATGCTAGGCCTCCTCATTTTCCTTCTTTTCTATCAGTTTGTTTTCTAGATCACTAATTCGTTCTTCTGCCTCCTTTACCCTAGCTGTTAGTGTATCTAGATTAGATTGGATCTTGTTGATAGCATTTTTAAGTTCTGCCAGTTCAGCTCTCATTTCTGCCCTTAGAGACTCTATGTTGCCATTAATCAATTTCTCCATTCTAGCTATCATCTTCATAACTGTTACCCTGAAGTCTATTTCCGACATCTTGCTTATATCTAATGTCCATTTGTAAATCTATGGCAGAAGTCACAATCTCTGGGTCTTTCCTATTTGGGGGGTTCCTTCTCTTTGTCATTCTGTTGAGTGGTTGTTGAGGGAATGTACAGAGTCCAAATTATTGACCACAGCCCAAAAATGATGCACCTGTTTTATAGGGACCTTAGGGTTGTCGGTCTCTTGTTCTCCCAGCCTGTCTTCTGGGAGAGGGGCCTGCCGCACTGTTACTCAGGCAACCCTGTTTGGGCAGAGTTGCCCTGCCCCTTGTGGGGGGGAATGGGCTCATTGAAAACCGGTTTTCGGGGTCTTTTGTTCTCTGGCGGCTTTCCCTGGCAGCTTTCCACGTCTCTTCCAAGAGTCAGAGCAGAAGTGACTGTTTCCAACCCTCTGCCTCAGAGCAGAGAGATCTCAGTCTGTTCTTCAGTGAGCTCTCTAGGCCACACTGTCTCCGTTTCTGTCTGTGCTTCTAAAACCGCAGCATCCTGGGTTTTGCACCTCTCAGCAGCACTCCCAGCCCTCACTTCCAGATCCAAGCACCTCTCTGCCCTTTGTGCTTCTAAAACCGCCAGCTGCCCCAGTTTGCAGGCACGGCCCTGCTGCTCCTGGTTTCAGTCCGGGGCACTGCCCTAAAGTCCTTTCCCCACTGCTACCCGTCTGTGAGTCTGTATCCTGTCCCCAGCGCAGGAGACTTCGTTCACCGGCGGTGCAGGATCCCCACGGTTCCCTCTCCCTTCCATTTATCTTCTGATATCTGTCTGTGGAATCACGCCTCCCCACTATATACCTCAAAACCAACCATCAGCGATATTCTGTTTGTAGAAATCCAGACTTATCTTCTTACATCTCAGGCCAATTTCATGGGTTTTCAGAGTGGTCTGTTAGATATCCAGCCTTGCCGGATAAAGTAAATTTGGGGCACTGGTTGGAATAGGGTCCCGTACTCCTCCGCCATCTTTGCCCCTCCTTTTCCTCTTCCTTTTGTCAAACAAGCAGACCTCTGTTCTCATCATTTCAGCTCTAACCTGTCTGCACCTTCATTATAGCCCTCTACCTGTCTAGCTATTGGAATGCAATCCCTTATCACCTATATTGTGTAGGGAGTTTATTCACTCATTCATCAATCATTTTTTAGCCATTGGATATGCTCTCTTCTCAAATACTGATCAGTGTTCTGTTCTAAAATTCTGTTTCTATGTTCAAAATATTTCACTATCTTTTTCCTTAATTGTTGTTTCATAACATCCTTGGAAGCTTTCTGAATGTAATCTGAAACTGGCCCCTGAACTCACAGGGGTGGGAGAGACTGAAGAAACAGGAAGGCCACTACAGTTTGGTCGGTGGCTGTTTTAATAAGCAAGGAAACTTACATACAAGGCTTGTCTTAGGCAGCAGCAAGGCAAGTGGATTCCTGCACCCACGTGCCAAATCTTAAAAAAGTTTCTATAGAGGTCTTAACTGAGTTCAGTCACACATACCCTGCAGTATTATGCATCATTATCTCAAGGCTGTGTCCTTGGAGCAGCCTCTGGGAGCAGGAAAGGCAAACAGAACCCACATTCCAAGGGTAGGGAAGGGGGTGGGGAGCCCTCCAGTGCCTGGGTCCAGCTCACTGGTGAACTGGCAATCATGCCATCTTGATGACCTTCCCCAGGAGATTAATCAATTTGTTTTTATTAGTTGTTTTCTTCTTAAAGATGCTGTCCATCTCTCAGTCACTTGAACTCAGAGAACCTGTATTCCTTCATCTTCACACTCTGTGTCCAGTTTAGTCCTGTTAGTTCTTGTTTAGAAATGTCTTATATTCATTACTTCTTTCTCTAGTGCTGCCATCCAAGTCCAGTGAGCCTGCTAGATGGTTTCAAAAGCCTTTGTTATTCTGTCTTTTATTCCTTTTTTGCAGACCAGCTTGCCTGTCATTATTACATCAATAATATTCCTAAAACACTATTTTGTCCTGTGTTCTGCTCAACGTTTTCAGTGGCTCTCCTTTTTTTTGGCAGTGTTTCATTTGGAGGAAAAATATTCTGATGAACCCCCAGTGTTGACGTGAATTATTGTAATTATAATGCAACTTAAATATGTCCAAATATAAAACTAAATATAAACCTTTGCACATGCAACTGTGTAACTAAAGCAGTTTACAAATTCATTACAAACAAGACTATAAAATGAATAAAATTTAACTTAACTTTGATAAGATAAAGATGTTTGACAAAACTCAGTCACTAAGTCATGGATATGGTAGAGTGCTCTGAGTTGGCATGGGTCTGTTCTACTTCTGAGGAACCTTTGTTTCTACAGCATGCTCTGGTATCATTTGGCCTTCACTTGGTACAAATATATCACTTGAGAAATAGGTCTATTGTTGTCTTTTTTTTTTTTTTTCCCATCCCTCAACCTACTACAATTATAATAGCACTACCTGGCTGTAGTAAAATAGTAAAAAAAAAAGTGCACACTCCTTGGTGATTTGGGGTACCAAATAAGCATCCAAATCATCCAAAATATATGGGGTAAGTGTGTGTGTATGTGTGTGTGTGTGTGTGTGTGTGCGTGTGAGAGAGAGAGAGAGAGAGACAGGGAGGGAGAGAAAATTTTAGTTGACTTGAAAAAAAGAAGCTTAGAATATTTTTATACTAAACTAAAGGAATCTCAAAATCAGTCCCAGAGTCCCAGGATCTACAGGCCGTATTATAAAAAGCACTGGATCAAGTCTCTTTTCCTTTTCAGCTTTTTTTTTCTTCTTTTCTACCTTCTTACAGTCATGTGAACATGCTCACATTTTCTCAGATCTGTGCCTTCTGTCCTTTTATAACTGCTTCTCCATATAATCCCATCTATCTACAGGCTTTAAGTACCAATTCATGCTCTCATTTCCCCTTAAAGCTTCTGCCACCCCTTCAATTATAATTTGATTTTTCTCCTTGGAACTCATCCTTGGAACTCCCATATCCAGTACTTTGGCATTTCATTTTTTTTGTAATGTTAGTTTCAATTGTTTGATTTGCATATTCTCTACATCACTAGACTTCAGGCGCTTTAAGGCAAAATAGTATCTTAAAGATTTTTTGCATAATCTTCAGGATCATTGTTGATATTCCTGAAGCACTTACTGAGTGAAACAAATGATTATTGGTGATGCTTGATATTAGAGATTTAGTTTCCCTTGGAGAAATATGTGATTTCTCTGTATAGAGTGTAAGCAAAGTACTTTGAGGTAGAAAATTTGCATTTCTAAGAAACTAAAATACCTTGAAAATTTTGTATTTTTGCACTTGTTTGTTCTGTATTTTCAGGACTGCTGGGAAAGATCCTCATGGCTATCCGGGATGCAGGTTTTGATATCTCAGCTATGCAGATGGTAGGTAGTTTGCAATAACTCATAATCTATTGACAGATTTCTTTTTTTAATGTTTTATATTGAATTTTCTCTGTGCACTTGTGAACTCAACACATTAAAAATAAAAAGATATAGTTACTGAACTTGATAACCTTATAATCAGAAAATGTTTTTGAAATTATTTTATCAATACAATCTTTCACTGAGGGAACTAAAATTCAAATCGTACACCTAATTTAAGGTTATAAAACAGGTTTATACAGTTCCTGGAACTTTGGTTGCAAAATAAATATAGATGGAAACAATGTATTTAGTTCCTACAAACAAAAAATAGAATTGAGTAGTTAATACTGAGCTCTCTGTTGTTTGGTGACTAAGAGGAGAATGGAGAAAGAGAGTCAGTTGAGATTTTCCCCTTAACTAGGACGTTTTGCTGGCTTCTGGGCTTTCCCTCAGAACCTTCTTTGGAGTTAGCACATTTCAGCTTCTGTTGGCAGTCATACCACTTGACCTCCAAAGCCCACAACTGTTCAGAATTGCCTAGTGGATGCATTTATAGGAAACTTTTCACTGAGGAAACAACACCCACTTCTGTAGAGCTCTCATACCTTTGTGCTGTATTTACCAGTGCACTTGACAAAAAATTGGGTACAAGTTATAATAGGAATCAGATAAACAATTTGGGTTTTACTATGTGTGAAGACAGCAAGTTTATGCTATTTTGATAATGAAATACTGACTTTGGAGCTGAGATTTTTCTTATCAATATAATTTATGTGTTCTTTTCCTGAAAAGGAACTGCTTTTGATTTCTGCTAAGTCTTAGGATCATCCAAAATCAGTGGTCAGGGTGGGAACTGGGATTCTGACAGTTTTGTGTCCCTAATTGGTAGGAATGCCCACAAATCAAAAAAAGGGCAGAAATATCAACTAGTTTGCAGAGTCATCAGGGAAAACTTGGAGACTAATGAGAAAGTAGAAGAATCTTACCTAGGATTGTAAAGAAATTGTTAGCCAAAATGTTCTGAAAGTATTAGCTTTGTGATGTATTCATAGGATTGTAGGACCTGCTTTAAAAATGTGTGTTTTGTAGAAAATTTAGATTTAAACATTGATCTAACTCTAGGCCCTCAACCTAGCATAGCTGGCCAGAGAAAATTTAGATTTAAACATTGATCTAACTGTAGGCCCTCAACCTAGCATAGCTGGCCGACCATGCTTGGTGACAACAAGAATAATAATTAAGAAAATGATTGATTGAACCTATGAGGGAGGCATGATAGTTAAGTGGCAATCACAGTCATTGAGTTTTGGAGTCAGGAAGCTCTATTTCTGAATTGTCAGTCAGCTGCCTTTTACACTCATGGGTCTGCTGGCCAGTGAGAACATGATTTGCCTCATTGGATTATTTTAGGAATTAAATGAAATAACCTTAGGCAATGCCTTGTAGAATTTCCAGGGCAAATTATAAATACTTAATAAGTTATATATTCTATTATTTTGTTGTATTAAAAGTACAAGTTGTGGGACTGTAGGCTAAAACACTGAAATCAGACAAAATTCACTACCTGTAATAGTTATGTTGCCTGTGAAATAAATCCTCCCAGTTTGAATTATTGCCCAGGTAGGCAGAAATTTCTCAGTGATCTTCAATTCTGGTGACAATAAAGAAAGTAGGGGAGAAAATAAAATTGTAAATTCTGAGGCTATTTAAAAAAACAGTTTAAGGTCTTAGTTCTTGAGACCCTAGAACTTAATGCAATTTTATTTTTAACCAAATTTGAATCCAGCCTGGAAATGCTTTACTATGAACCAGACTAGGGATTTTTCTGAATCCTTGGGAGGAAAAGGGTATTATTTTTGGCTGCTACAAAATCTGAAGTACTTTTCATTAGTAATATTTCTTGGGCCACTAACCTATCAGTAAACAACATGACATTGCTTATAAATTGTGTGTGTGTGTTGAGAATGAGGTTTTATTCGAAGAGAGGTATAGTGTAGTGGTTAAGAGCATGACCAGTGGGGTCAGATTGCTTGAGATGGAACACAGATCTGAAGGTTACATAACCTGATGTCATGGGGTCATTGTGAGGATTAAATGAGATGATGCATGTACAGGTCCTAGAACAGTGCTTGATACATTAAGTACTCAATAAATGATACCCATTTTTATTACTGATGAGCTAATCTTTAACAACACTTTTTCAGAGTACTTAATTTGTGCAAGGTTTATATTTTAAAGTAAGGAAAATATATCCAAGAGATCATAAATGCTGAGTGCAGAGTGTGGTTCATTTTATGTTCTTTTGGTGGTTGGCTTATATTTTGTTTTGTTTCAATCCAGTTCAACATGGATCGAGTTAATGTTGAAGAGTTTTATGAAGTTTATAAAGGAGTAGTGTCTGAGTATAATGTAAGTATCAAAGTAAATGTAAAGCATTGGTCCTGAAAACAGTTTGTGTATCTTAAATCTGGGGGATCTCAGTATAGTTTATAATCATGAAAGTATTCGCGAGTCTGCCAGTTGCCAGCTGATTATACCCAGTGACTGAGGCATTCTTACCTCTGAGAGCCACTGGATCAGTTTTTAAAATATCTTACTATTTCATTTGTGAAACAAAAATATACCACAATGCAAAAAAAGAAAAATTGCTGGGATATTGATGCATTTGGACATTCTTTATGAAGTTTATAATATTCTCAGAGTGGAAGACTCTCCAAAATGCTTTAGAAAGTTAAAAGCAAATAGTTACAGTATAACACCATAGCATTATTTAACACCTACTTTAATGATATAAATGCAGGTAGAATCATCTGAAAATGTGACTGAGACTGAAGAAATAAGATTAAAAGGTGTTGGTCAGAGAGCAATGAAATACATTCTTGAAAACAAATGACTATATTTGAATAAGCCAAATATTATTCCTTAAAATAAAACATAGTAGATATTTGATCAAAATTAGTTTCCTTCCCCTCTTTATAAAATTATCTTAGATACATTTGTGCTGGTGGACTTCCTCCTCACCTACATTGTTTTACAGAGTTTGACTTTTTTTTTTTTTTTTTTGCATAAAGTTTACTGTTCTTGACAGTGAGACTAGATTCTCCTTCTCACTTCTCTATGACTTTTCCTTTCAGCCTTCCTTAAAAAGGACAAATGCACTGGTCTGAGAACTGGCCTGAGCCTTTGTCTTATTTAGTCCTACAAAGTCAAGACTGATTGTGAAATCTATTTCATGTTCAGTGTACTGGTGGTTTCCACCCTTATTTAGAGGAGCCAGAGTGGTTTTCCTTCTGTAACAGCTTACTGAACCTTAATCTTATGAGTTTCTTCATTTAGTTATGCCTTTTCTTAAATGGAAGAATTTTAGAATGTGTTATCACTTAATTCAATAGAGACAGCAGTTTTCCATTTCTTAAATCTCTCTTTTATATATTTTCTTTCTTTTATTTGTTCAATTTTACTTTAAAAAATATGGTTGAAAACTGCTACCTTCCTCCATTCATGTTATGTTATAGCTCTACTGTGCATAAGATAAACCCATGGAGACATGTCTTTTGATCGTCAGTTACATTCTCATACAATATCACGTAGTATTGAATTTGGTAACAAATAGTTGAGGGCACTATTGTGCGCATATCTGAGATGGGCTATATTTCCCTTTGGAAAATAACTTCAAAAAACCCCTCATCTCTGACTTATTGTCTCCTATATTGTGCTTTAAAATACTATACATGTAATTTATTTTTATGTAATATATACTTACTCTTAGGATTTTTTTCTTTTGATTTGGGAAATTCTAGAGTAAAAGTAAAAACATCACTGGGTGGATGTGTCATTTTCCTTAAGAAATCAGGAATTTGAATGACAGTAGCAATATCATACTGTAATGTCAGGATATCCCGGAATAATTGGTGTTGATGTGCTTTCTTCTTTCTGATACTCTCAGTAAGATACTGTGTGTAACTACTATTTAAATCTTGTGATATTAATAACAGAATCTACTTAAGATAAAGAACATATGGGCTGTTTGGGAAGAAAAAACTACATTACTTCAGAGTTAGCCTTGTGAGCCATTTTTAGGAATGCTTATCATTTTTTATTCAGCTTGAAATGGTTTATTCAGTGTAAAACAAATATTTCAAATTATAATTGGTTTAGAGTGTTCTGTTAATGGGAAAATGGAGTATATAAATGAACCAGAACATTATCCAGGTATCTTTATAAGATGTTCTCTATTTATATGATATAAAATTCTATTGAAACTAAGGGAAGTTTCTTTGAAAATTTTCTCCAAAGGGAAATAAAAATGTTTTTATCCCAGTAATATTTTGTTGAACTAACTAATATTCTTATGAATCTTCTTATTCTAATGCTTTTAAAAGTGCTTTTTCCATTTATAATTCAGTTTTGTTCAAAGGAAGTTGTGTGAGGATCTGTATCTGTATACTGCAAATGCATGTGATTGAAGAATCTTTTATTGGTTAATTTGAGACACCAAAAATCAGATAGCAAATACTGAGTCTCACTTGCTATTGTGACCATTGTATTTCCCACAAGCTCTCTTATTTCTCATGACAGTTAATATTCAGGACTTGAATTTAAGCTCAAGGAAAAGGTAAATTTTTAAATGCTGCATACTATTGGATGTCTCTTAGTTTTAGGAAGTTTATCTAATTCAAAAAGAAGACCCTGTAAAAATAATCCTAAGAGGCAACATAGTCTAAAGGGACAAAAACAGGTGATTTGATTCTTATTCTGACTTTTCGTACAACACTTTATCCTCCTTGTCTCCAGATTCTTATTTATAAAATAAATGATAAGATATATAAGGTCATAATAGTGGGTCCACTTACTGATTTATCTAAATGTAAAGATATATTGGTGAAATGATCCTCTTTTTTTTTTTTCAAGATTTTTATTTATTTATTTGACAGAGACACAGCGAGAGAGGGAACACAAGCAGGGGGAGAGGGAGAAGCAAGCTTCCCACGGAACAGGGAGCCCGATGCGGGGCTCGATCCCAGGACCTGGGATCATGACCTGAGCCAAAGGCAGACACTTAACGACTGAGCCACCCAGGCACCCCTGAAATGATCCTCTTAAATGTAGGATGTATAGTGTGAAATAGGGACAGCATCGCTGACGTTATTGTATCTGACATAATTCTTTGTAATAGATTCTGTGTTGCTCATCTATACTTATATTTGCTGCTTCAGCATTTGCAGTCATAAAAAGGTGATAATTCCTATCTCATTGTGTTATCACAGTCCACTTATTTACTACATATATATACCGAGTATCTACTATGTGCCAAACAATGTGTTAGATATCAAGTAGAGATGAACCAAAAAAAGCTCACTACCTGCATTCATGGAGCTTATGGTCTGGTGAGGATGGACATTAAATCAAATGATCCCATCATAAAAGACAGGAGTCAAAGGTCTGTGAAGGAAACAAACAGGTCTTTTGGTTTTGGTAATTTTTTAATTAGTTAAAAACCTAGGTGACTTGGGAATTTTGTTGAGTCCATTTTTTTAAGGAGCACATTATGCTTTTGATGGAGTCCTTTTACCAACATGTTTTTTTCTTTCCATTTTGTACATTTGCATAGCCCTTTATGTCTGTATTTTTAATGGTATTTGTGATTAACACTGAAAGACAAGGAGAGAGGCAAATGAAATAAAAGCAGACAAAATTCACTCCTTCTTTTTGGATGGCATGTTCCTGCTGCCTTCTGCCCCTACTGAGAACTTGGCTCTTGACATTTATGTGTAGGCAGTACTTGAATATCATGAGACAGAAAATCAGACTCAACATAATTATCCATAAAAAATCAATTACATATGACCTTTGCGAAATAGCAAAGTGACTTCAGGGGGCTACCTTTAGGGATTCTAATGAGTAGGGTTCTGTGTACTATATTAAGCATGAAGCTCTTTCCCTCCTCTTTTAACTTTTGGCATTTCTATTAGGTGTGATGACTGAGTTCCAATTAATATTTAAATATTGTTCTGTAATAAATTACCTTTATTTTACGTTGTCACTGTATGTCATAAACTCTCCAAAGTCATTAAAATGGCTTGCATGTCCCTATGTGATCTGACCTCATCTCTTACTGCTTTCCTGTGGTCTCACTTTAGCTCCTGATATCCTGGCTCTTTTACTGATCTTCATACACACGAACTGTACTTCTGCCTCAGAGTCTTTATATTTATTTTCACTTCTTCCTGAAGTATTTTTCCCCATGTAGAGAAGAAAAGAACATTCATTGAGTGTTCCAGACACTGTAAGAGGTACTTTTCTTTGATCATGTGTTTCATTATACCACTTCACATATAGTTAAGAACCTTAAGAGTATACTTCCATTTCCCCCTCCGTATGCACTGTGGTTGTCATACATTTTTATTTCTATTTCTATTATAAACCCTGTAACGCATTTTTAATATTTTTGCTTTAAATAATCTTTCACACCAACTAAAAAAATATGTTTCATATTTACCCACATGTTTATCATTGTTTTGTATAGATCCCTGTCTGGTACTTTTTTCCATCTGTCTGAAGAACTTCCTTTAACATTTCTTATGGTATAAGGCTGCTGGCAGTGAATTCTCTCACATTTTGTCTGTCTGAAAAAGTTATTTTTCCTTCATCTGTGAAAAATATCTTCCAGGGAGCCTGGGCGGCTCAGTTGGTTAAGTGTCCAACTCTTGATTTCAGCTCAGATCATGATCTCAGGGTTGTGAGATTGAGCCCTGCATCGGGCTCTGCCCTGGGCGTGAAGCCTGCTTAAGTTTCTCTCCCTCACCCTCTCTCTCTCTTCCCCTCCCTTCCCTTTTCCCTCTCTCTCTTAAAAAAACAAACAAACAAAAAACAAAACTACCTGGGTATAGAATTGTAGATTGACAGATTTTTGTTGTCATTTACATCTTTCTTTGTTCTATTGTTATATGTCTTTTTGGGGGAGGGTTGTTTTTAAGGGTTTTTTGTTAATGGTTTTTTTTTGTTTTTAGCCAATTTAATTATTGGCTCACTATACTTTTCTTTACATTTATTCTCCTTGGACTCTGTTGGATCCGTTGGCTTATGAGTTTTATCAAATTTGAAAATATTTTAGCAGTTAAATCTTGGAATCTTTATCTGTTCATCACCCCTTCTTTTCTTTTTCTGGGACTCCCAATTATATACATATTAGACAGCTTGTCATTGGGAAAAAAAATTACCATCGGACAGTTTTATTCATTCTTTCTCTCTGCTTGCTTTTGAGTAATTGGATTTCATGTCTTCAAATTTATTGTCCTTCTGCAGTATTTTGTTTTGTTCATCCCATCCAGTGTATTTAATTCAGATGTAGTTTTCATCAGTAGAAGTTCCATTTGGGTCTTTTTTTTTTTTTTTTGAGTATGGTTGGCACAGTGTTACATTAGTTTCATGTGTGCAGCATAGTGATTCAATAACCCTGTATGTTATGCTGTGCTCACCACGAGTGTACTCTTTGGGTCTTTTTAATATCATTGATTTTTCTCTGCATCATGTCCATGTTTTCTTCCCCTAATTTGCATATAGAGCCTATTTATGCTAGCTGTTTTAACATTCTGTGTAGCCAACATTTCTGTCATTGCTACATCTGTATCAATTTATTGAGTTTTCTTCTAGTGATGGTTCATATTTTCTTATTTCTTTTCATGCCTAGTAATTTTTATTGGATGCTGGATAATGTGAAATGTATAATGTTATATGGTATGTATGTCATATTCCTTCGAAGAGTATTTGACATAGTTTTGGCACTCATTGAAGTTACATAGGATCAGTTTGACCTTTTCAAGGCTTGCTTTTAAGCTTTATAGGAGGGGTACAGAGCATTCCATATATAAGACCAACTATAATGGTGCAGTACCCTTCTGAGGACTCTACCTGTTGCCCTGTATCACAGGATGGCTTTCTACTCCAGGTGATGGAAATGCAGTCTTCTCAGCCTTGTGCTTTCTCTGTGAATGGTTTCACTTAACTGCTTCTGGTAGTTCTTTTCTTAGCTTTGGGTAGTTTCCTCTACATGTATATAGATTCCTAGCCAAAGACCCAGGTGAACTTCTCTGCAGATTCCTGTAGATTACTCTCCCATAGTTCTTTCACCTCCTCTAGTAATCTGTCCTGCAAATTCTAGCTACTTTGGCCTCCCTGAACTCCAGTCTTTGTCTCTTCTGCTCAGTGAGAGTGTTGGGCTCTGTTGTGTTTCCTCTCTCCGTCCCATTGTCTGGAAACTTCGTCCAGGCAGTAAGATGGGGCAGTCATATGGCTTACTTCATTTGATTCTTTTCTATCAGGGATCATAATACTGTGCTGCCTGTCATCTAGTGTTTGAGAACTGTTGTTTCATATATATTGTCTCATTTCTAGATGTTTAATGTGAGAGAATCTGGTCCCTGTTTTTTTTCATTTCTGAAAATGATTATGATTTTTAAAAGTGTTTTTGGAACTTTGGAATTCATATCTTTAGAAATGTTCATTCGATAGGACTATATTTAAGAGGAGAAACCTTTTAAAAGGAAGATGTACAAGAAGATCATTTCAATTAATGAAAGTATCAAGTGGTAAAGCATTACATTAAAATGATGCTAGTGGTAGGAATTGAGATGAGGGAACATATCTAAAACACATTTTTGCAGGAGAAATGGACAGAATTGGGGAACTGCTTGGCATACAGGGTACATGAGGATTCAAAGATAACAAAGATTTTAAGATTTGGAATAGTGGTACAGTTAAAAGAGGATGAGTAAAAGATTATTAATTTTTACTAATTTTTAAGTATTCTTTTCTATCATATATCATAGGAGATGGTGACAGAAATGTATTCTGGCCCTTGCGTAGCAATGGAGATTCAACAGAATAATCCTACAAAGACATTTCGAGAATTCTGTGGACCTGCTGATCCTGTAAGTTAGTGTTTAAAATATTAATCAAGCTTATTTTATTCACTAGCTAAGTATCTTAACAGGTTTGATAGTTTTAATTTATTCTTTAAAAGAAATAATACCAAAATGACTAAATCAGATAAATTTTTATTCAAAATAACATTTTGAATAATTTTTATATAATATTCCAAGAAAAAGTAAACTTTTTATTAGCCTAGTGACAGTATAGAATGGGCAGAAAGCTTTACTGTGGCATTTTCTTTTATTCTTTCTTCTTACTAAATTGTCTAGATGAATTTATCAAGCTCTCTGATGGAAATTATCTAAGATACTAATTATCCTTTGACATAGGGAGGCTCTAAATAAAGCTCTCAGTGTGAAGAATATTGATATGGTGGCTTCATACCATAAATATGAGCAATGGGACTTATGTGAAACTTGATAATCTCTAATATGCTTTTCATTTTGCTTTGGGTTTTCTTCATATAGACCTGGGTGGAAAAAGGGGTGAAGAGGAAGGGGATGGACCTAAAAAGCAAAAGCAGCATTAGAATACATATGAGAAATCTCCCTGCAAATGTTAAAAGCTGAGTAGTGAATTTAAACACTGTAATTTTTTTTAAAGTTATTTATTTATTTATTTATTTATTTATTTATTTATTTATTTATTTATTTATTTTAGGGGGAGAGAGAGAGCTCATGAGCCAGGAGAGGGTCAGAGGGGGAGAGAGAGGGACAAGCATACACCACACTGAGTGTGGAGCTGACTTGGGGCTCGATCTCATGACCCTGAGATCATGACCTGAGCTGAAACCAAGAGTCAGATGTTTAATGGACTGAGGCACCCAGGCACCGCTAACTATAATTTAAATTTATTCTCTTTTCTTTATTTTACTATCACTTATAAATTTTTTATTGAATATGAGCATCCAATTCAGTTTAATCCGGACAGCATTTATTATGTTCCCTTGGATAGTAGGATAGTAAGTTAACAGCACCTATTAAGAAATCAACTTGTGTGAGAGTGCTTGCTGCCAGATTAAGCTCTGTAGGGGAGAAGAGTACACCTGTTTTCAAAGATTGAAGAGCACACACATAATTATCTTTTAGAACACTTAAAAAGAAACATACAATAAGGACTAACATATTATTAGTTCGGGCACCTGGGTGGCTCAGTTGGTTAAGCGACTGCCTTTGGCTCAGGTCATGATCCTGGAGTCCCTGGATCGAGTCCTGCATCGGGCTCCCTGCTCGGCGGGGAGTCTGCTTCTCCCTCTGACCCTCCCCCCCTCATGTGCTTGCTCTCTCTCATTCTCTCTCTCTCAAATAAATAAATAAAATCTTTAAAAAAATAAAATAAAATAAAAATAAATAAATAAAATATTATTAGTTCAAATAAAATGCAAATGTTGAAGGATTGTTTAGTAAAGGAGAAATGATATGACCTGGAGATAATTGAGAAAACTTACTTAGAGGAAGAGAGTTCTGAACCAGGATTTTAAAGAAGAATCAAGGCACGAAGAGAATGGGAAAATCTCTAAAGCATATACAAAGGCAACAGTGAAGGAATTTGCAAATTTACTATGGTATACAGCAAGAATATTTGCTTGGCTTCAATAGGAAATGCATGCTTAGAAGCACAAGGAAATCCATTTTTTTAGGTAGAGGAAATAAGGCAGCAAATGCTGGTAGAGATGAATGTGAGATGGATAGGCTAAAATTGTGAATTCCGTATGAGTGGAATCCCATGTGGTAGGAAATAGCAATTCCTCATATTTAGCTTAATTTTGAGCATATGGAGTCATTCCCTTGATGCAACAAGAGCAAGCTAAATTAGAAGAGATTAAAGGCAGGGGCTCCAGAAACATTAAGAGCAGACCTGATGACACCATTAGAGAAAGAATTGGCAGGACCTACTTTCTATCTTTTCAGGGAGAAAGAATAGAAATAAGTATTAAATGTGGTTGTGAAAGAGTGATTATTAAAAGGTGACTCTGATGTAGAGGACCTTATGAGAAAATGGTGATTGTTGAGTGTATATTGATTATTAATTGTAAAATTAGAAAGGGATACTTTTTGGTTACATGAGTAAACAGATTTCATGTTTGCCATTTTTATATCTGATTTCTGTTGGCCAGGACAGGGTTTTGTTTATTGATTTTTTAAGGTAATTAAAATTGAGTGAACAACTGACTGAACAAATGGGCAAATTAAAGAGATAAAAACTAGAACAAAAATTGAATGGGATGAGTCTGTTCATTCTTTCATTCATTCCATAAGTATTTACTGAATCTGCTAGTATTTGTGAATATGAAGCCAGAAGTCTCAAAGAGCTTACAGTCTATGACTGGGCAGTATATATAAGTGGCTAATTTCCACGTTCCATGGCAATTGCAGTGTTAGATGCTTGCACTGGGTATGATGGGAGCCCAGAATATTAGCACTTAGCTCAGCCTGGGAGGGGCAAAATAGCATCAGGGGAGACTTCTTGGAGAACATAACTTCTGAGCTGAATTGCAAGGAATGAGAACTTAGCTAAGTGAAGAAGGAAATGATATGATGAAAGTTAGGGAAGAATAAAACAGATTCACTTTTAGGCTACAGCAAGATCTTTATCATTACTGTAGTTAAAGTACTTGGCAGTGAATGACAGAGGATGAGGTCATCGGGAAGGAGTTGGGGAGTAAGCAGCTGAGTAATCACAGAAGGAAAAGTCCTAACAATAAAAGTTTCCTGATTACCTCTCTTTCTAGATGTACATTCAGTGAACATTTACAGAGGGAATAGTATGTACAGGGATCACTGCTTGATCCCATGGCTGGGCCAAAAGGAAGACTAGAACAAGGTATCTTTCCTTAAAGAGCTCATAATCTCATGAGAGTTTAGTTTGGAAACTCTTACAAGATCCTAAGTCTTCCCTCATTAAGCATAGTTGGAATTACTCTACTATTTTTTTTTTCATTTTAGTTGTCCATGAGCCCCTTATAGCATTATAGAAAGTTGTACTATTAGGGATATTAAAATTTGGTATGAATTTAACATATAAAATGTTAATAGTCGTTGCCATTGGGTGGTAGAAATATGATAATGTTAAATTCTACTTTTCTATATTTTACCAATTTTCCTTAAAGTACTTCTATTACTTTTACAATAAGAATAATGCCTTTTATTTTATCATAAAACTTGGAAGTGAATGAACTTTTAATTGAGGACTTGGTCCTGATTTGGGATGGATTTTCCTCTTGAGTCTCAGAGTCTTGAATTACATACTAAGTGCAGGTGCAGTATGTTAAGCAGGATCATGTGCCTTTGATGGATATATATAGATGGGTATATATAGATATTGTATATATATATTAGATGGGTATATATGTTTATATATACATACACACACAGACATATATATATATATATATATAGTCAGAAGAAATATCGTTAGTAGTTATAGTCAAACTATACATTAGGGACAATAAAATGGTTCTTATAGTTTGTTCTCAGACTTTGTTTGGTTTATTTAATTCTTCTTCCACTCCCTTTCTTTGTCCCTTTTCATCCACCCCTCCGGCAAAATTGTAAGCGTTGAATGCTTACTGTATGCTAGTCACTGTGCTAGGTGCTGCTACTAGGTTTATAGTAGTGATCAAATAAATACAGTCCTTACCTTTGAGGAACTTATACTCTAGTTTTAGGAGGTAGAATTGATAAATGGCAGTCTCACTCTAAACTGCCAGTGTGCCAATCTATTTACGTATTGTATTAAAATAATTTAGAAATTCATTTCATCACTGCATAGTCATTTCCATATCTGAAGAGAGACTGTGGGTTGCAAAACATGTAAATATAATCAGTGTGTGGGAAAAAGGCAAGGTATGCCATGGCATACAATTAATATTTGCTAAATTAATGAATAGACTGGCTATATTTTTATGTACACCTAAAATCTGGTATTAACTCATTATTTAAAAATATTTCACCTACCAAAATGAGTTCTTTTTTCTTTATTCCTTTCAAAGATGTAGAACTACTTTTTAAGTTGATTCAAAAGAAGGTTAAGCCTTACAGTGACCGTTAGACCACTTGGTAACTATATATGTTGTAGATGGACATCACTTTCATCATTGATGTCTGCACTATTGGCAGATTTATTCTCCTATAGCTGGAAGGAAACACGCATTGTATGTGAACAGAATTTATTCCAGTCTCTCTAGAAGTGGTCTGCAAGAAGGGGTGGTTTACTTCACAGGTCACTGGTGGGGTAGGGTATGTTAAACTTTCCACTTTTATTTATTTACTATATAAAAAATAAATTAAGTTTTAATAAAATTTAATGTATAGACTAGTAAGAGTACATTTATATAACCTGTTAAAATATATACATGTTTTGATGTATTTGCATATTTTACTGACAAGGGTGCTTGAAAAATGTTGGCGTCTACTGCATAAAAGGGAAAAAATATCACAACAGGTTTCTTTACAATTAGAGAAACATTCACTCACTACACCATCACCTGCAGAAAATACATCTACTTAGGCAGAAAACCTGATTTGCCTCTGAAAGAGGTTTTGATTGCACCTGCTCAAGAATTTCACTGTTGAGTAGCCTGGTAGTTTTCCTGCTGAGCCATTAGGAAACTGAAAGTCACCAAAGAAGTGGTAAATTATCTGGAAAAATTGTGCAAAATATATTTGTTCTTGGACTGATTGGTATGACAAGCCAAATAACCTCACATCAGTATGCCTTGTTGTATGAAAAATATGTTTGTAAAATATTTTATTAAAGGATCTTATTTAAGGGAATCTGAATTTTTGGTCAAGTGATTACTGATCCTCATGTGCTCTTATACTTTGATAACCTTTACCCCATGGCCAGATTGAATTAAGAGTCAAATATTTTCGTACACAAAATGTGACTCTTTAAATTTTAATGGTTTCCCATTCATTTGATTGTCAGAATGGTATTTCACCTGTTATTGAGTAGCCTTAACTGATTTTAGGCTTAAAGTGGAAGTATCATAATATTT